TTTTTTTGGCTATTTGAAGTTTGAACCCTTCTTTTGAGTTTCCTTTCTGAGTGTGAGATCTCATTTGACTGCTATTTAGAATTATGGATTTATATTATGAATTGTGCTTTTCTTACATTATACATATTACACTATGTCTTGACCTTCCTAGACATCATTAGTTTGTTGTGCTTGTTGAGGCAATATATTGTGGCCGTAAATTAAAGTCGGCATGAAATGAAAATCTTTTTACTAAAATCCATGTTATAGATCTTATTGTGATTCATTACCTCATCATTTTTAATTAAAATGTCAAAACTGGATCTTCTAGTGAAATAACAGACGTATGCAGGATTTCTCCAATTATTTAGTTCATTTAAACCCGCCTCACGTTCATCTGCCTACACTTTTGAGTGACACGCCAACATCTCAACATCCAATTAACAACTAATGCACAGAATAAGTCCCGCCCCCGCCCTAATTTTTTACTTTTTTCGATATCCTGTTATACTCGGGATGTACGTCACAGTATGGATGAAATGATTACTAATGGATAAATGATAACTCAATTAAAATGAGAAACCAATGCGGCCATCATGTACCTTAAACAAAGTAACAAATGAATCAAACTTGGCCATGATTTAACTAAAACGAGGAAACTATTTAATAAGTTGTGGAAACATATTCTTAATGTGTGGCCATGAAACCTTTTTTCCTGCCTAACATGTAGTTTTTTTTTTTGTTTTGTTTTTTCATATATTTTGGGGCTATTTTGCTTCCATAGCATATCTTATTTAAGGCTAGTGGAAAGAAAACATCCAAAATACACATTTAAGTTTTTATTTAATTAGACTTTATTTATTTGCTTCTGTAGATTTCAATTACAATACATACATAAGGCGTTTTCTCAAAATAAAATTCTCATGCACTGAGCCAGAAATCTCCACTTCAGAAGCACTTTCATACATCAAACTCTACAGTTTTATATATATCTGTCTTTCTATGTTCTGACCATATTGTAACCATTTAGGAGAGTATTATTTTTCACATTATATTTTAACATGGTTTACATATAATCACACAGTAAGAAAAGTCAACCTAACTGACAGAGAAAAATAGTAAGTAATAAATAAATAAATAGAAATGAACAACAGTACTTGAGCATTGAAAGTGAAAATTACTTTTTTTTTTTTTTTATTAGAACCATTACGATTTTCATTATTGTATTGTAAAAAAAATTTTTTTTTAAATCTCACTTTCACTAATTAAACCAAATATATATTAAATGGTAAATTAAAAAAAGTCAATTATTTAAATGTTTATTAAGTTGTATTTATTTAAATCATTGTAGTATTGCTGTTGTGCCTTTAACTTAGGCTGATTTAAATAAAAAATGTATTAATGGCCGTTCACACTAAGAACGATAACTAAAAAGATAAGTCGACTATGTTGTTATCATTATAGTTGTGGTATGAATTTCCATATTCTTGATTATTAAAACCTTATATTTATCCTTACTGTTTTTAGCTATTGTCCTTGGTGTAAACAGGCCTTTATAATAATATCTTTACTGTAATACCGTAAAAAATACTGCATTGTAATAATAAGAAACTGATGAGAATCACCAATAATGGTAATTACTAAAAATGTAAAATGTTCAGAAGCTGTATGGTAACGAATATAAGATTTTTTTTTTTTAAATTTGAGTCCCAGCTTGCGGACCTTTCCTGATCCCGGCCCCCTCTCTCTTTCCCACTTTGCTTCCTGTCTACAATACTGTCCTATCCTAATAAAATGCCAAAAATAAATCTTAAAAAAAAGTAATGAAGCAAATATGGTCACAATTTAAATAAAAAGAGGGAACAAAATAAGAAGTCATTTGAATGAATTCTTAATTTGCGGTTAAGTATTGATAGTTACTATTCAACAGTACAAAAAAAAAAAAAATAGTGCAATTGGATTCAGAAATCAAGTTCTTCACCGGCTTGACATTATGACCATTATACCATATGACCACCTTTCACTATTTTGCACAAAGCACTTCCAGTTCAGTAGATAGCAGAAATAAGCAGGCAGGAATTTGGAGGATCAGATGTCTGCAGGAAACACAGGACTGTTTTGCGTGTTACGTGTCTGTTGCAGCTGTTGTATCTGGTGCTGTGGTGCACTGTGTACTCGACCATTCACATGCACCTCCATGGCAGCTCAACGGACTTCTGGGTGCTCTGCCTGTGTGTCAGTCTGGTGTCCGTGATCCTCACTGCTGCCATCAACCTCATCTTCCACTACAGCAACAAAGAGGTGGGCTGTCACTGTCTCTTTCTAGTAAAAATGAACCCGTATTCCCTTTTAATCCAGATTTGAATGTAGCTAAGATTAACAGGTGCATCTGTTTCAGATCAACATGAACACAGACGTGCGGTTGGTGGGGGTTAATGAGCACATGGTCAGGCACAAGCTGCTGTTGGGAGTGGCTGACTGGGTCCAGAAATGCAGAGGAAATCTGCAGGTAATGACTTCTGCACTATAATGCGTGTTTACTGTATACCGTATCTCGACTCATGCTGCCTGAAAGTCTTGTCAGCACGATCATCATTCTTTAGGCCTTTTTGAATTGGGTAAGGAGTCAATTAAAAGTTTTATGGCAGGTATTGATCATCAGCATTGATTGTGCGATGTACTTTGTGCACAATTTTATGCGATAAAACTTGTCAGAAAATATTACTGATTAACCAATACATGTGGTGTCTTACTCACAAAACAACATTTCCCATCATCCTCTGTGGCTGCATGAGAAATTTAAAGGGGTCATATGATGCGATTTCAATTTTTCCTTTCTCTTTGGAGTGTTACAAGTTCTTGGTGCATAAAGAAGATCTGTAAAGTTGCAAAGACTAAAGTCTCAAATCCAAAGAGATATTCTTTATAAAAGTTAAGAGTCAACCACGCCTACCTAAAACGGCTCGTTCTAACACGCCCCCACATGTCTACCTCACTATGTGGGAAGATTTGCATAACGCTGCCCAAATGTCGCCGGACGCTCCTTCGTCGAATCCGCCGGCCATTCCTCACTCACGCCCACCCGCCTCCGCTCACTCAAGGCTGCCGCTGTGTTTCGTTGTAAAATCGAAACTACTTTGTTTGGTCTTCCAAAAATGGACACAACTAGAAATCAGTGGTTAAGTTGTATTTACAACACTGTTCCAGAACACTTCAACGCGTTTCAGAAAGGCGGGGCATAGAGGAGAAACAATAATGTACAGTATGTGGAAAATAATGTGTTTTTTGAACCTTAAACCGCATAAACACATTTCATTACACCAAATACACAAAATAATGTTATTTTTAGCAACATCATATGACCCCTTTAAAGGGATATTTCACCCAAATATAAACACTGTCATCATTTCTTACACACCATCATGCAGAGGTGTAACGTATTTGAGTAAATGTAATTAATTACTGTACTTGAGTATCTTTTTGGATACTCCGTAGTTTTACCGAATAGATATTATAAGATATTAGCAACTTTTACTCTCTACTTCACTACATTTTTGAATAAGCATCTGTACTCTTTACTCCAGTACATTTGTAATGAGTGTTGCAATCACACATTACATTTTGCATGGACCTAGCTTTTTCTGCAGCGGTTTGTTTGTGCTACAAAGGAAGTGATATCACCAACTACAGGGCACTGAAAGTACTATATCTTGTGCGCTTTGCCCTTACTCACCCAAACTTGTCAACAAGGCTGCTTTATGTGAATGCAAGTTCAAAACGGCAATGAGGCCGTAACCATTTTCATTATTCTCCTGTATTCTTATCCTGTTATTTAATTCAATAAACAAATTAAGCAAAAAAAAACAAACAAACAAAAAATGACTTTACATTATTTTATTTATCCGTTATACTGAAGAGACCTTTTTGAAGGATTTTTTTGTTGTTGTTGTTGTTTTGTTTTTTTTGCAATTTTTGAGGTGTTCAGTTTTATTTTGGTTTTTGAAAATAAATGTGATTGCTCTTCTCACAAATCAACCCTTTCTTGTTTTTCACTCTTTGACAAGTGCATCTTTGAGCCTATATTTAGTATAAGTAAAACACTTCAGTACTGTTAAAATCAGATACTCAAGTTTTACTCAAGTTGTTTTGAAATTGGTTAAACAAACAAAAAATTACTTTACATTATTTTATTTATCCGTTATACTGAAGAGACCTTTTTGAAGGATTTTTTTGTTGTTGTTGTTGTTTTGTTGTTTTTTTTGCAATTTTTGAGGTGTTCAGTTTTATTTTGGTTTTTGAAAATAAATGTGATTGCTCTTCTCACAAATCAACCCTTTCTTGTTTTTCACTCTTTGACAAGTGCATCTTTGAGCCTATATTTAGTATAAGTAAAACACTTCAGTACTGTTAAAATCAGATACTCAAGTTTTACTCAAGTTGTTTTGAAATTGGTGACTTGTAACTTGTAGTGGAGTAATTTTCACTGTAAGGTACCTGTACTTTTCCTCAAGTTGAGTTTTCAGGTTCTCTTTACACCTCTGCCCTCATGCCGTTCCAAACCTGTTTGACGCTCTTTCATTTGCATAACGTCTCGGTGTTATTTTTGTCCATACAAAGTCATCGTTCACCAAAATTGTTCATGTTGGTTATCAACATTCTTCAAAATATCAACTTTTGTGTTCCAGGGAATACATAAAGTCAAACAGGTTTGGAACGACATTAAGGTGTGTAAATGAAGACAGAATTTTCATTTCTGTGTGAACTATCCCTTTAAAATACACATATGAAGCATCAGCTACACACCTTATTTTTCTTGCATTATTGCTAAAAATCTTCCTGTTTTTGTTTGGGAGTGAAATAGAGAAAAAGAAATCTGAAATAATGAACTTCAAATGAATTTGTCTATTTTAACCAAAGTGATTTGCATGCATATCACATCGTAAATAAGATTTCTGAATTTGTAAGCAAGAATTTCTTTGGCAGAAAGTCGAGAGAAACGGTTACTGGTTTAGTGGTATGAGAGTAAAAGAGATTGTGTATAATCAGATAACTGAATGCCTTCCTGAGTCACACTCTTATCTTGATGTTTTTCTTCTGTAGTCTATCTGATGGAACTGATCATGTTTAGAGCCATGAACACTTGTTTAACTGCTCTTCTTCTTGATCTTTCTTTCTGTCTGCAGCTCTTCTGTGTGTACTGGGACTTGTCCCCATGTCTGACATCTCTGACTGAAGCGCTGGACGACATGAGTTTTGTCAGGGATCAAGTACAGGTTGTTCATTGATTTGTTCTTATGTTGATGCTTCAGGGCTCCACAGAAAATAATCAATACAGAAATGTTTTGTACTACAAAAATAGTGGTACATCAAACAACTGTAGAGCGCAGATTAAACAAAAAAACAAAAAAAAACTGAAATAAAGTAAAATATTATAAAAAGTATACTTGTTTGATTTCAGCCAGGCATAATTTCTCACTTTCATTTAGTTTTACTTGATGTACTAAAATAACCAAAACAGAAATAAAATGAATAAAAAATATGTAGACATATTTAAAACAATAACTAATAAAAATGATGCACAACACACAACAAAATGATCAAAACTGTAACTAAAATTAATTAAAAAATATGAATAGAACTATAATAGTATCTCAGTGATACTAAAATAACACTGCGAGAGAATGAAATACTGTCACAAAGTTCCCGTTTTACTCTGCAGAACAAACTCAAGAAAAGAATGTCCCACCTAGTTCTAGTGACCGAGGTCACGACCCTGGATCCCGAGGCTGGAGTACAGGACGAGGAGCTTCCAGAAGAAGAGCAGCCGCTGCTGGTGGGGGGACGAGAGCGAAGCGCATCAACTAGTCAACGGGAAGACTCTAAACTCACCAAAAACTTCAGCTTGATGCCTGACACCACTCTCTCAAATCAGGTGAGCAAAAAAATTATTAATATAAATAATATACAAATCAGTCAGTGGTGGTTTGAATGACAATTTTACATGAAAGCTGATTAAAATTAGGCAGAAAATTAAAATGGATCAAATACACCACATGGTATCAATAGAAGATTATAGTAGTTTACCATATTTTTTCTAATATATTCAAAAATCCTTGATAATTAAGGATGCATAATAATATTTTCGATCACCAATCCAACAATTGACATTATAGAAAAAATGAATGGGATAAATCAGGCAGGTCATCTGCAGGGTTGGCAGAGTCTTAGGTTGAATCTTGTAACAGTTCAAGTGAAAAATGTGTGACTGTTTTCTTCAGGCGATTGCTCAGCAGCTCCTGATGACCTACAGTGCACTTTATGTCAGACTACTGGTATCAAACAAGCTTCCTGCTCCTCCCCAGCGGCCTTCAGCTGCAGAGAAAAATCATTCCGCTTCCTCTCTGTGTCTGTGTGAGTACGTGGAGCTAAAGGTTCTGCGGTAGACAGAACATGACTATCAAATCTCACATTCAAAAGTTTTGCTGTCAATTATGATATAGTCACAGACTGTTCTTGCTGCTCTTGAATCTGTTATGATTTTGTCTGTATACTGAAATATATATATATATATTGTTGAGTTATTGTGGTTTTCTATTTGCACCATATGCTCACAATGTGTGAAACAATGAAGTGCCAGCTGATTCTTTCCTCTTCCATGTTAAGTTCTTGTATTAACCAGACAAACTGACAATAGATGAGTCGCACTCGTCCAAAATCTTGCTCGACATAGTTGTATTTTTTTATTCATGACATGATCTTTGAGATTCTGATTAACACGTCTTAATCAGGGAATCAAGTAAGCGCCTCAACATGGATTTTTGCAAATTTCCAGATGATACAGGATATGCAACCACGCAAAAAATTTGGACTTGAGTTTAGCGGTAGTTCTTTACAACAGTTTGTAGTTATTAAGTTATTAAACATACGTTCGGGAGGAGTACGCCCATCTAATCTTCTAATTATTAGCAGGACATAAAAGCGGCCTCTACTTCTTCCCAGCATTGGTTCCCATCCCTCCTCCTCCCCTTCTCCTCCTTATTTGTATTTTACCTGTGTAATCATCAGTAGGCAAATCGGAGCTCCAGTAGAACATCCTCCCTGAGCCCCTCCATATGCACAGCAATCCAAAAACTGCTTACCACGTATGCCAAGATTATATGGCCGCACAAACTCTTGAAGGTCTCGTTTGTTAACATTAGTTAACTATGCTATTTAACATGAACTAACAATGAAAAATACTTCTAAATCATGTATTAATCTCATTAAGTAATTTCAATATTTAGTAATACATCAAATCAAAACTGTCTGTTATTATAACTTAAAGGAATAGATCACCCAAAAATGAAAGTATGCTGAAAATGTTCATCTAGGATGTAGATGAGTTTGTTTCTTCATCTGAACAGATTTGGAGAAATGTAGCATTACATCATTTGCTCACCAATGGATGCTCTGCAGTGAATGGGTGCCGTCAGAATGAGAGTCCAAACAACTGATAAAAACATCACAATAATCCACAAGTAATCCAGTCCACCAATTAATGCCTTGTGAAATGAAAAGCTGCACATTTGTAAGAAATAAATCCATCATTCCATCATTAAACCGTCACATCTAGCCAAAATACTGGTACATAATCTATTAGAACACTTCTTCCAGTGAAAAAAGTTAATCTCCTGTTGTCCTCACATCACAATCCACCCACATATTTGTTTAGAACTGTCTGTGTCTGAAATTTTTCACTGGAGAAAACAATTTTATGGATAGAGGACTTGTATTTTAGCTGGAAGCAACTGTTTGAAGTTAAAAACGTCTTGATGCATTTGTTTCTTACAAAATTAATGGACTGGACTGGAGTGGTGTGGATCACTTGTGGATTATTGTGATGTTTTTATCAGCTGTTTGGACTCTCATTCTGACGGCACCCATTCACTGCAGAGTATCCATTGGTGAGCAAGTGATGCAATGCTACATTTCTCCAAATCTTTTCCTGAAGGCGATTACATTTTCCTGAAACTGAGTGAATTATTCTCTTAATGTTAGTTAATGCATTCACTAATGGTAACTACACTCTAAACAGGTAAACTACACTACCTACTTGACTGACATCATCAGTCCCTTTTGTTTTTAGCCCCGCCCCTCCAACTACGTCTTATATAGAGGCACTTTACACTATCCAATCAATTTCCTATCCGTAAAATGGTAACACCTTACAATAAGTTCCTATTACACTCTAAAAAATGCTGGGTTAAATACAACCCAGTGCTGGGTAAAATAGGGACAAACCCAGCAATTGGGTTGTTTTGACCCAGCAGTTGGGTTACTACCCAGAAGGTTGGGTTAAACATTTAACCCAACCGCTGGGCAAAAACAGCCCAATTGCTGGGAGAGCGGAGAGAGCCACTTTGGCAGAGATAGGAAATGACAGTAAGGGTGTCAACATGAATCAAGCAGCGAGTCAGTGAATCTACACTGCACTGCTCAAAGCATGGCACAAATAGCACACGGGTATGCAATCCTAACCAACAGAGTGCAGAGCAGCTCGAAACAGCTCTGCACCGTGAGGAATGTGTACACCAGATGTAGCCGACCAACACAGGTTGTTAATCAGCCTTGATGGAGCTGTGGAGGTGATTGGTGGGTGAGTACATGGGTGCAGTATGGGCGACACAAACACATGGCGCGAGGGTCAGAGCAGAAGAGGCAAAACTGTGTGGTAGAGGACGGCAGGCCTGCGGTGTTAAATGATTACTGAAACGATGGGAGGCTAAATGACCATCTGTGATCCTACTGACACAGTCTGGCCTGCTTCCTTCTTCTAACTCCATTCATCTCTCTTCTCTCTCACCTCTTTACATTTCAGATGAAACTCACAAAATCTTTCAAGAACATGTCCAGGTCATATTTCACCCCAAAATCAAAAGATAGACATGAGAAATAACATTTAAAAAATTACATTATACTATTATAATATTTATTTGCATTTTTAATAAAAAAAAAATAAATAAACTTTTGTAATTTTTTTTTTTTTTTTTTTCCACACACACACACACTTTATTTTATTTCTTTTTATGTGCTTTTTAAAAAATATTTCAATTTAGGTTTAATGTTTAATTTATTTGATCATTATTTCAAAAAACCCTCTGTAAAAAAAAAACACCTTTAAACATTTAGTTTAATTGCATATCATAAGGTCATGTCATAGGTCAGTTTCAAATGAGTGTGCAGTTATCACTTGCATATGTTTATATCAGATACATTTGGAAATTCTGACATGTTCTGAAGGAGCTTTTGTTTGTTGACTTTGTGCCCGCGAAATTTAATTATAAAAATACTTGTTTGAATTGTATGAATATGATGGAGCATATATGGGTCTATATATGGTATGCATTTTTTGCAGAATTAACTCTGTTTTGTATTTTTCACTCACACACTGCTGGCATTTTATCATATTTTTTGTCTATACTCTGCAGCTATAGACTGATCAGACCCTCTCCTGGTCTTTCCACAAAAGAGGGATTCATATCTTGAGGAAATTTCAACTTCTTCCCAAAAAAGTTACAATTATAGTAGCCTAACTATTTCCAATAAGTTTCATTTCATTAGCATAAGGACAATGAATGACAAATATTCATAATATTCATATTTAATAACATAATATATTTATGAATAAACCAATGTTCATTGCCAATTAATGTATATTCGTTTTAGTCATTTTAGTACTTGCAAAATTTCATTTAAGTTTTCATCAAAAAGGTCAATTTTTCATCTTTTCAGTTAACAAAAACAAAATGAACAACGCTTTTCAGAACCATTATGAAATAGAAAAACACTGTACCACAGTAATGTAATACAATGACTATACTTATCATCTATCAGAGTATAATCTGATATATCCATCAGAGTATCTAAAGAGCATTTGAGAATAATGGAACAAACTCAAAATAAAAACGACCGTAGTAATTATTTTCTCAAAAATGTTTTACTCCTAAATAAATGAAGTTATTTTTAATTAAAGGAAAAAAAACATATAAAGTAACATGTGATGAAGACTAAATTCCTACTAGTAGCCAAATAAATACTGTTTTATTTTACATGGAGCAGGTCGCCTTATGCCATTGTAAGATCACATGACCAGCGAAATATTACTCACTTTTTCTCTGTAACCCATCTGCTATTGGACAGTTTCATTCATGGAATAAATTAATCCTGAATAAATGAATCATGGCTGATTGCAAAAAGTGCATTTGGCATGGGTAACTGCATACATCCACAACACTAGGTGTCAGTCTTAATCTAGGACAACTGGCATATCAGAATAAAAATACTGCTTAAATGAGGTAAATTAAGAGTATACTTTCATTTAGCTCTCACTCTTCTATTATACTATTCTATCATTCCTATTCTATTCTATTTTTTTGTCCTGTGCAGCCAGGCATGGTCATGCTGATGCTTTCTGATAGCTATCTTCTCTGCAGAGTGACAGATGCCCTCACAGATTGAGAAGAGCTGTAGCACCATGGCCATTACTGTACACCACGTAATAGATACAATATGTAAATGAGAGGCACTGGCGCCCCCCTATCAGATTATCAGTTATGTGATGTGGAGATACACTAGCTCCAGTGACACAAGGGAAAAAGATTCAGAGACAGAGAGGAAAAAACAGGGCAACTATAAATAGCACCTCTGAGATAAAGAGAAAGGCCAAACATGAGCGAGAGGCAGAGAAAACGCAACACAATCGATTCTTGCACAACCAGGTATTCCTCTTTAATTCAAATCACTGGATTCATACACAGCAAATCAATGCTTGGTCTCATTAAGAGGGCAAATCTCACGAAAACAAGTCTGAGTCACAATTCACGTCCAAAATCAAAGGAAAGAAAAACGTGTTCTTTTCTGAATAAAGAAAATGAAGTCCTTTTGCCATTATTTTAAATAATTATCATTTTAATATCTGAAAAACATCTGGATGTTTTACTCTTCTGAGAAATTCTCAGTAGATTTGGATTACGATAAAAATCTAGTTCTTTTGTGATCATGGTATAATGATAATTTAGGGAAAAATGTTTAATTGCAATCAAAGTTATGCAAAAAATAATAAAATTTCTTTCTGCTGCCTTGAGATGAAATATGTTCTTGACAGGTTTTTGTGAGATTCACCACAGAGTAAACCTCTAAAAGCACACAAACACAAGCGAGCTTGCAGTTTTTTGAATAAACCTACCGCATCTACAAGCTTAGAGAAACCGTGTGCAGTAACTATAGGCAATCAGATCTCATTGGCCATGTTTATAACAATAAAGCATTTGCTTTATATCACAGCTGTGTGAAAAAGCATATTGTTGGGCTAATTATAAACAGGAGCGAGGTTCACATCAACTGTACAGTGTTTGCACAACTTTAAAACACCAAAATAAAATGTATCAGACAAGCTTGTCTTATTAACAGACAGGATTTCGGTCGAAATATGCTCTCTTAGTTACAAAGTGAGGGTCATATTTTTCGACGTAGCCCATATAAACGTGAACATGTGCAGTCACACCTCTAACAGGTATAAACAATACATCAGAAGTCATTCAACAAACAGTTCAGTGTAACACTTGCAATATGCTGCAAGCCATTTGTTCAAAAATAGATCGAGAAATCGATTAAAGAGAGCAGGAAAAGACCGATATGACAGTTGAAATTTCACAGGCAAAATAAATACTTAAAATTGAGTGACATAGCAGAAGAGCACAGAAAGTAAGTGCTCAAAATGGACGCAAAAGATGCTTTTCTCCCATCTTTCACATTTGTTTATCAAAATCGACGGTTCTCTTTCTTGTATTTCACTGAAACAATGAAGCACATTTTACTCTCGGCACGACTGTCAAGCCTGAAATGTAGAAATCCTAAAGCTTTATACATAAATGAAAAGATCATCCACTGAATCGATCCAAAAATTAAAATTATGGCATTCATTTTACGTTCATGTTTTTCTAAATCTTTATGACTATTTCTTCCATGGAACACAACAGAAGAAATTTAGCAAACCCAGGCTGCTCTTTTCCATACAATGAAAGCAAATGGGGACTGGGGCTATCAAGAAAAGAAAAAAAAAATAGTCCACACAATTTGGGCATTTAATTCCAGATCTTCCAAGGTCCCCATTCACTTTTCA